TAAAAAAAAAAAAAATATATATATATATATATAGAATGAGAAATTTTAAGATATTTTAGAATTTATATATATTAAAAATTCTAGAAAATATGTAATTTACAGAATTGCTAGCGGTCAGGAAAATCAGGGAAAACTGGGAAAAGTCAGAGGAGTTAAAAAATGGTCAGAGAGAACCGGAAAAACCGGAAAGTCAAGAAATCAAGGAATTTATCAACCTAAGATAAAAAATTAAATTCTAATACCAATTCTAAGTTTATTTCTTTAAAAATGATTAAATAGAATTTTATTGATTTTTTAAAGAAGCACTGTAAATATTTTGTACGATTTTTAATTTTGCAGTCAGCAATTTACGGAAAATTATCAGCACATATATTGTTAAAAAGAAAAAAAACTTAATAAAATTTCAGGGTATGTATAATAACATCTCATAAATTATTTAAATAATTAAAATTAATTAGAATAATTGGAACGTACAGTGTTTTAGTGAGATGATTAAATCTTAATAAGCAATGCGCAAAACAAAGAAAATAAAGCTATTTTACGTAATTTATTTGTTTTTTAACTCATTGCATACCAGTATTGTTATTTATACTTGCAACTTGTTCTCTGTGGTAAAGAATTCTTTGACTTATTGTATGTATTATAGTCACAAGTATATATTATATAAAACATTAACAAAGTGAGCTTATAATATATTTAAAGATTATAAATATTACGAAAAGTTTTATATTATGTTTATGGTCGGTTTTTAACACAAGAGAGAGAAATATTTTTAATTAATTTCGTAATTATAATCGTTGCTCTAATTCGTGTCTGCAAGTATATAAAAAAATTTTTTATACCAAAATTTCATGATATTTTATACGCTTTTAATAATATTCATATTTTTCGAAAATGAAAAAAATTCCGTTACCTATTTTACATACCTGAATACCTGTCCTAAATCTTGAGATAAATAGATAAAAAGAATATGAGTCCGATATCTTTTGATATTCTAAAACAAAAGTCCTACAAAGCTCTAAATTAAAATCAGTGATTGATAACAATATTATCTATAGAATATTTTAAAATTTACGTATCATCATCTGCATATATAAAAAATTTTAGAAAAAATATAACACATTTTCTCAGAATTCTATTCTGAAAAGTATTTCTAGTGGCTATAAAAAAAAAATCCCCTTAAAAAGAGAAACTTTCTTAAAAAGTATACTCATACAGGAAATCTAGAAAATTCTGAAATTTATGTAAAAATTCTGAAAAACCGTATGAAGAAAAATTTCCGAGAGAAATTTTCATTAGAGACAGCTTAAAATACGACACGGATCGCCCAGGTTTCCGAGTTTTTCACATAGTCGCGATCGTTAGCGTCCCGGGTGTGATACGAGATGTAACGCACGACAAGCCTGGACAAGCCGGCGTGCGAGCGGTGCGAGCAACACGTTAATTGGGCGAGAGTTACGGCAAACGTACTATAAACCTTCTCCGTACCCCTCACTGCGTCTCATCGTCAATCCAGATCTTCGGTTGGACTCGGCTCGGCGCGGCAGAGCCGGCTGCTGCCGTCGCCGTCTCGTGCTCGCTGGCGGTCGTTCTGGACACGAGAAGGCGCTCCGGTCGCATGGCCGCCCCTCAGTACTCGCGAGCCTCGCTCGGTGTGTGTTTCGTGGTGTGCTTGTCGTCGCTGTGACTGTCGTTCCCAGTTCTCCTCGGCCGCCTGTCCCGCATGTCGGCCTGTTCTCAGCGACGCTCGTCGACGTAATTAATTCCGTTCGCGAAATCCGTCCTGCCTGAATGCGACGGCTGTCTCGTCGCGATCCTTCCGCCGTCGCGGACAATAATCTCTCGTTCTCTCTCTCTCTCACACTCACTCCTCTTTCTCTTTCACTCTCGCGCGGATAGGAGGAGGAAGAGGTGGCGGTGGCGGCGGCGGCGACGGCGACGGCGTCCGTTGAATTCGTGTTGCTCGAGCGGCGCGTATCCGTGTGTCAGTGTGCGTGAACAGTGCGTGGTGTGTACAGCAGTAGCATCATCGGTGCCGACGACGAGAAAGATCGCTGGGGATCGCCATCACTCCGGTTACGGACGTTTCCTTTCCATCCGCGTGGACTCCTCGCGGCGGCGGCGGCGTCGGCGACGGCGGCGGTGACGGTAGCGGGGAATTTTTCACATTCGGAGTTCGGAGTACTACGCGCGCCGCTCCCCCGTGTGTTTACGATCGTTGCGTCCTCTCTATCGCTGTCTCGCTCTCCTCTCACCTGCGCTCCTCGCTCGCCTGGCGCGCGGACAGGTGTCGCGTGGAAGCCGAACGTAGGAGAGAGAGCCGACGCCTGGTTCCGATCTCTGTGATATTAAACGTCGGATGGCTCCCCGCCGGTAGCCACGACGGCTCTTCCTCGAAATCCTGCCGAGATAAAACGAGCCCTCCACTGCCCGTGTCGTCGTCGTCGTCGTCGTCGTCGTCGTCATCGTCGTCATCGTCTATCGTTGCCGACGACTGCCAAAGAGTACGTATTTTCCACGAGCGCAGCAGTTCCGCGTCCCTCCTCGTCGCCGTTTCCATTCTTCCGTCACGCTCGTCGCGTTGTGTCCGCCGCGTGTACGTATACGTACGTACGTGTGTTTGTGTGCATGTGTGTGTGAGAGCACGAGGTGAGGAAAATTGTTTACGCCTACGACGGTTACAACACGCCCTCGTATCGCGGATGACGGTTGTCCTTGGAGGTTAGTCAGTCGGTCGCGCGAGCAGTGAATGGACGCTTCTTTACGACGCGAGACGCTCTCCGAACGCTCGGTGACGTGTTTTCTCGCGTTCGGTGGGAAAATTGTTCCGTGAATAAAAAAAAAGTATCGCGATCGTAACGTCTGTCGTGTATTAAACGCGAGCGTCCAATGAGTGTTGCTGTCGGTGGAAATTTCCGATCGCGCTCGTTAGAACCGTTCTGCGATTCTTTGATGGAGTGCAGCTAATGATCTGTTGAATGTCGTAGGAAAAGGCGGACAGATCTCGCGAGTGAGAGAAAATTTGTTTTCGTATCGAAGTGACTTATTTCTGTGCGAGCGATCTCCCGACGTCGGGGCGTGGTTAATTAGTTAAACTTGATAACTTGAAATGTTTGTTACTTTCAAGTGTGTTAATACAATTGTGAAGGAGGATGCAACTTTTCTTTCACGATCGTTCGTTTTATTTCTATATTTTCCAACATTCTTTTTCGTGGAAACCGAAATTATCATAATAATGACGCTCGAGGAAAAATTGGGATGTTGAAATAAAATTAAAATCCTCATTCGCATCTTTACATGAATTGTAGGAGAAAAATGTACTAAACTTTAATGAGTAATTGTTTGAATTGTATTAATACAACGTTGATTTTTTTTTACAGAAAATAATATTTTTGCTGAATGAAAAAATATAATAGTTAAATCCAATTAATGCTTCTTGGACCAAATAAATATATATTTAATAAGTATTCAACTGGCACTCTTTTCAACCAAATCTTTATTAAAATTTAGTCCATTCTTCTCTCAGTGTATGAAATCGCTGTCAGTTGTACTTCAGTCATTTGCAAAAACTAATTTAGAGAATTTGTGGATCCAACTATGAATTAATTTTTAAATTGACGTCTAACTGACAGCGATTTCGTAACTACGTGAATAGGATTTTATTCTTTATTTCAACATTTCTTTGAGTGTAGCGTCATTATTATAATAATTTTCGGTTTTCATAAAGAAAGAATTTCATAAGAAACATAAGATCTAAAAATAATGCGATCCCCGAATGAAACGGTCACAAAGAAGTGAAAGTTGTACCCTCCTTTAGATGTATATCTTGTTTGATTCTTAGTTCCTTTTTTTACTTCCTTTGAATATTAGGTTGCTGAGTCTAATTATAGTTATGCTTTTAAACGTAACAATATTTTACATAAACAGATTTTTATGAAACGACATTATATAAACTCGGGCTTTATTTCAATGCAGTTTATTTAAAAATAATACTACGAAGCGGACCTACTAATCTATTGAATATCGTAGAAAAAGTAACAGGACATACTGAGAGAAAAATGTACTAAATTTTAATAAATATTTGTTTGAATAGTTCTAGTTGAATATTTAGTAAATATTAATATATATTTATTTGATTCGACAACTATTAATTTAATTTAATTATTGTTTTTTAATTTAGCAAATATGTCTTTTGTAAATAAATATTATATTACATTAGCACACTATTTAAATAATTATTTTATTATTTATTGAACCAATTATTTATTAAATTTTAATAGACTTTTTTTCTCTCTTACTGAATATATATACAAATTTGCGCTTTATTTTAATATAATTTAATTAAAGATGACAGCAGCGCGTATTTATGTATTTATTTACATTAACGTTAAACAATAAGTAGCTAAAAGACGAATCGATTTCTATTTTTACACACGCGCCGAATAAAATTATTTCTCCCGTTTCATCGGGTTTTCATTAAAACGTCCAGCCGGCTGGTCCTTCGAAATAATTTTATCGTTCATAAATCTGTCCGTAAATCAAGCCGAAATAATTAAATATCGATGACCGGTATTTCATATCATGCCGGAAAGCAGGCGTTTCGATATTCTCCGCAAAGTACGGAACAGTACGATCCAATCTATCGCCGGATGCGCCGCGAGCCTCAGAAAATTCTTTTCATTTCCGTCGAGCTGTGCATAGAAAATTTTCTCCGGCCTTGATCCGCATCTCATAAAATTTTCGAGCGAGATAATCTCTTCGCGGTTTGTCATGAAATGTATCGATCTTCTGATTTATTAGTTTACTAATTTTTCTATTTACTTAAGTCGCTTCTAAAGTAATATAAATTGTCATAGGCTCTCACACACACACACACACACACACACACACACACACACACACACACACACACACA